ATGTAAAAAGAAAGAAAAAGAAATTGATATACATACGTGTATATATATATATGAATGTGCATTTTTTTACACACTCTTTGAATAATCTTATATACTTCCTTAGTTTCTAATTGGATATCCAAACTTGAATCTAAACTTAGTATCTTATTTATATAAATATGTGTTATATTAGTCAATATTGCTCTGAGGTAGTTTTTATAACTGTTTGCTAATATCAAGAATACATATTTTTCTGTCATAAATCTTGGAAGTGCATTTTCACACAGAGTTTGTTTGGGGTAGGGAGAAAATATCATTGTGATTTGCCATCAGTATTATTAGACAACACACAAATGTTGGGGTTGATTTGTTCCTACCACCCCTTTTTCTTTTTTTACTAAAGAGATCATGTTTAACTTTAGAGTATACAACACTATATATTGTTTTAACTAAAAAAAAGAAAAAAGAAAAAGTAATATTGCTGCAGTGGCCAAGTATGCATGTTTCAACTCCAGAAAAATTCACATTACCTCGTCTTGCAAATCATTCATTAATAAGCTACTGGTAACACATGCCATCTGAATCTCCCAAAGAGACACAGACAGATCTTTATTAAAACTATGTGGTGAGTCCGGTGCTAAATATAAGTATAAATGTGCCTTTCCATGCCTGCAATTTTCTGAAATCCAAAAGTTCTTTGGAGCTAGGCAGCAAGATAATACTTCAACATAATTTAAATGCATTCTTCTTCCAATTAAAATGTAGGACTATACATTCTCTACCTCCAAATCACATTCCCTTCCAAAATCTTATTTTATCAACCAATTAAATTTAAGGATGGCTCTTACCTCTCTGTCTGTTGTAATAGCCACATCTTCAATTCAGATACTATATTGGGATTTACAGACTAACTTTATATTCAGTGCCTTCTTTAATGATCTGAGCAACCTTCTGAGAGTGAGGAAAGATATTTACTAAGGAGCTTTCATTTGCTTCTTGGCCCCACTAAATAACCAAGTAAGCTCCTTGAAAGGATTGTTGAGTGTTCTGCTCTATTTTGGGGGTGCTAGTTTTTAAGTATGTTTCATCTAAAAATCTAGGAAGAAATACCTTTTCCCTCATGTTTAGTGAATAATTTATTTAATTATTTTAAACTGTTTATTCACAAAAATATTTGGGTGCTTCATGTTAAAAAGAAGAGATTATGACAAAAATTTTAACACAGGGAAAAAAAAGAAAAAAACAATAATACGGAGGGGAAGAATATAAGAGGTTTGAAGGAGAATAGAAATATTCTACAATGGTGGTCATGGGCTTGCGAGAGCTAATTGTGCTTGTTTCTTCACAGTCAGTGACGTCAAGTTGCCAATTTGAAAGTGGCCATGGTGTGACTATTCACGCCATGGAAATGTACACAGGTCAGAGCTCTTTTTCCAGATAGTTTATCAGAACATTGCCCTAAAACCTCAATTAACCTTTGTGTTAAAATAACTGAGGTATAAGCTTCATTACATCTCATGTAAGTTAAAATAACATATAGAAGTTAAAACAACAGATGTAAGCTTCATTTTATTCCCCTGTAGAGCTTTGTAAACCTAAAGACTATCTCAGTACTGCCTCAGTCCATGAACAATGGGTACTGATGAGAGAATACAATCTATTCTTTGTTCATTTCTTCATTAAGGAAATATTTGGTGGGGTGATGTAACAATAGTATATATTATGTGTCTTGCAATCACAGACGATCTTTGCTTTGCCACTTCTGGTCGTGTATTTTGAGCAAGTTACTCAAATCCACTATCCAGAAATGACGGGTAATATAAAATAGCATTAAACTTCAGAGTTATTGTAAACTTTAAGAAGATAATGCTTACAAATTACTTAGCATTGTCTCTGGCACATAGTAAGAGCTCACTACATGTTACCTTTTATGACAAGGCTTCTACTATAGGTGAGATTCTCTGTAAGACACCAGAAATACTAACATGAGGTCCCTGCCTTCAAGAAGCTTACAGTCTAGAGGAACTGATCTAATTCTTAATTTACATCTCTGAGATTTTGCTGGGTGTAACAGTATAACTGCTTGATATTTTACCCTTTTACAATTCAGTTTGGAAATGGGTACTTTTTAAACTCTAAGGTTTAAGAAGTATTAAACATGTAGGTTGTAATAGAAGCATTTAGTAGAGCTACAAACCTTTTCTTCATTGCCATTTTTATTCACTGTTAATTCCCATGAATATTTTTGTAGTTTTTTGAAACGTTTCATTTATTTTAATGTTGCCTAAACACGCAAGTATAAGAGCTTTGCTTTCTGTAAGTATTGCCAGCTTTTTTTTTTTTAATACATTTTCCTTCTTCAAAAGTGTTTGGTGCTAAGATTTTGTTTTTGAGAAGAGTTTATACTTTTCGTAGTCTTATTATTTTATTATTTCAAATGGACGTTTCACAGTTTAATTTTATTGAAGCATCTTTTAGAGAAGATGTGTTAGAGAACTGAACTTTGGAACACCAACAATATTGTTAATATTTGACACATATTGAGAGCCAAATAGTTCCCAGTGTTCAAGCCATTCCCTGATATCATGTAGAATTCCTTGGGCAGCTAACTCAACCTTGGGATCTAACAGCAGCTAACCACTGCCTAGACCAGGTAAAAGATACAAGTCAATCCATTATCTAATATGCCATACTGTATCAAATATCACAGTTTTAATAGGGAAAATAGAAATATGAAATTTAATTCCATTTGACAAATATAGTTTATATAAAATAAATCATGTACATATATACATAAACATAACCATAATCATTTTTAAGTATGTAACTGAGTATGTATATATACTTTTCCCCATATGCATGAGATGTCACAATAAAATTAGTATATGGAATAAGCAGCAGCTAGGAAGCTGGAAATCCAAGAAAATCACCACTTCTAGTATATTTCCTCTGTGTAGGCCATAACTTAAACCAGTATGACTAATTTATTTTGTTTCTGATTGAAAATATGGGGGAGAGAATTGTTGAAAAGAGCTGGTGTGACTTTCAGGTAGTTGGTCTCCATCTAGTATCCTTCATTCTCTCATTTGTACTTTCTAGTCTGTCTTGACTTGTCAACTGCTACTTCCAGAAGATAAAATGGACAATTCCAAACACAGATTTGACTTGGACTGATTGCTATATACCAGAAATTCTATACTCTGAGATACTTCCTAAAAACTCTGAATTGTTGGGTATCTTCTAGCAGCTCTCAAATTCATTTGAAGAAGGGTACATTTGGCAGGGGAGTGTGGTGACGTGAGCGTGGGTCCTGCTAGCATTTGAAACTTGTATATACTTTCTTAAAGAACTGAAGCAGTAGGGAAATACAATTAAGCAGAAATAAGGCCTTGAAGAGATGACCTGAGCCTCACTGTTCCATTATCAGGAAACCAGAGAATAATTCGAGTAAGTGAAAGATTTATCTGAAAGTAAAAACCAAATCTGGAGAACCACAGGGAATTTTAAAGGGGAGAATTAGTACTATAAGTGATAGGTCCTCTGTATATTGTGGCTGGTTTCATCCTCAGAGAACAGAGAAGGTAAGAAAAGCCAAGAGTGAATAATAAAACGACACAAGATATTTTATAAAAATCTTAAGTTCCAAGGTAAGATTTGTATGAAAGGAAGACTTCTAAATTACTCCACGTATTCTTTAACTTCAGTTGATCATGATCTTCTTCTCCCTAGAAAGGAGGATGGACTAAGGAACTACTCAGGGTTTTATTTTTTTTATTTATTTAGGTTTGTTTTCTGACACCAAATAAGAGGGATTTTTTTCCCTCTCACCAACCAGTTCTCCACCAGTTGGGTCCAACAATTCCATTCCATTCTGACGTTAACTATCCAGAGTTAGCCCGGGCCCCACAGACTGCCTCCACTTCAGGCACCAGCCACAAATGGGGTGCCCCAGCTACCCACATTTCCGCTCAGCTGACTACAAATTAGAGGTTCCCAGGAGCCCCCCTTGAGCTCAATAATTCACTAGAATGACTCGCAGAACTCAGGAAAGTGTTTTACTTATTATTACTGGTTTATTTTAAAGGCTACCACTCAGGAACCGCCAAATGGAAGCAACGCATAAGGGGGGGACAGGGGGGGGCGGCGAGTGTCCATGCCCTCTTCAGGCGTGCCACCCTTCCAGCACCTCAGTGTGCTGAACAGCCCAGAAACTCTCTGAACTCCACTGTTTAGGGTTTTCGTGGAGGCCATTGGTGATTGAACTCAGCCTCTACTCCCTCTCCTCTCCGTGGAGGCTGAACGTTTCAATCCTTTAATCACATTTTTTTGTTCCTCTTGCTACTAACCCCCATTCTGAAGCTCTCTAGGGACCCACCAAGAGTTACCTCATTAGCATAAATGCCAGTAAGGCTGACCGGGGTTCATTAAGAATAACAAAAGACACTCCCATCACTCAGGAAATCCCATTGGTTTTAGGAGCTGTGTGACAGGATCTGGGGACAAAAACCAAATATATTTTTCATTCTATCACAGAACCAAATCATGAACAACTCCCATAAGCTAACTGGGGATCCTCAGGGAACTGACTCCTTTTCTGAGACCAAATCAGACTTCGGAACTAGTGAAAGGCAATGTTTCTCATCTTTTCCAGGAGGTGTGAAGAAATTAATATTCTATAGTGTTTCCAAACTAATGAACAAAGCAAAATGATACAGTTTCAGCGAGCTGAAAATCCTCCAGTTAATAGAACCAACAAAATTTTCAGTAACGTTTAGCTTTACCTTCTTCGCATCCTGTGATTAACACGGGAGCTTCGCTCTTCACTGAGTTCATATATGAAAGTGTCACATGCCCACATGTTATCAGCCGGTCTCCTCCTCCTCCTTAATTCGGAAAGGTGCGTCCACTTCATTCTGAAGTAAATGCTTACAACGACAGAGCTTTCCTTAGGTATCTCCTTGTAAACGTAGAGGCGAACACCAGTCAACTCTTTTCAGGGTGCCAAGATAGCTCGAGTCATAAATGGATTCTTTTCTAAAAAACAGATTACTATATTCATGTGGTTGGCAGAGCAAAACCCCTCTCTGAAAGCTGTCCACAACCTAATTTCCAGAACCTGTGAACACTGTTACTTTACATGGCAAAGGGAAATTAAAGTTGCAGTGGAATTAAGATTGCTAAACTCTGCATAGGGAGATTTTCCTGGATTACCTTGGGTGGGTTCCATGTCATCACAAATTCTGAAAAATGGAAGAGACAGCAGAGGAGGTCAGAAATAGGAGATATGCTGTATGATAAGAAAGCAACCCACTGTTGCTGGCTTTGAAGATGGAAGAAAGAGGACACAAACCAAGGAAAGCAAGTGGCTTCTAGAGGCTGGAAAAGGAAAGGAAATGGATCACCCCCAAGACCCTTCAGAAAGGAACACAGCCTTACCGACACATTTATTTTAGCCCAATGAGACCCATGCTGGACTCGATAGATTTTAAGAACATAGATTCGCGTGGTTTCAAGCCACTAAGTTTGTGGTGGTTTTTTTACATCAGTAATAGAAAACTAATACTTGAACTAATAACTTTAAAACAAACCTATTTCTCATTTATGAACAGCAAAAGGTCCCAGTCTGAGAAAAACAAAGGTTTGCACTAGGACGGGCCCATGTTAGTCTCCAAGCCCTCAGCTTCCTTTCCTGATGTGTGCCAGCAGCAAAATGTATTAATAAAGAAAATATGGTGACCTGCCCTACAATGAAAGTATATATTTTACAGAGAATTAAAAATACCACTGCTCTGTTCCTATGTTAATTCTTAGAAGCTCTTTCATTATTATTAGAACAACAATTCTACTAGAGGTCTTCATTCACACTTGTGTGTCTGTGTCATGTACATAAAATAAATTAGAAGATGGCCTCACTATTTGCAGAAACTGCCTAATTCTTCATGCAATGTAGCTTTCTTATAACCAAGCCTTTTTTCTTTTCCTTACCAACTTTCAAGTGGAGGAAGTTCAGGTGCTATTATACTAATTACCCTTCATGTCCAAGTTACCCAGAATTTATTTATTACTCTCTGTAATACTTGTGCTTTGGGCTGTGCACATTTCTAATAGTGTAGCATTGTTTAACTCATTGTTTAACTTCCTCCCAAATCAGCATCATAAAGAAGGTATGGTGGGAATGAAACACCTGAGAGCTGCACTTTGTGATCACCTTCCACGTATAAACTCCTAGAGCAGGAATTGGTTTTTATTGACTGTCTTAGTCCCTAAGTAATGCCTAACGCATAGTAGGTATTCAATAAGTATTTGTTGAATCAATGTTAAGTACAAATTTTTTTGACAAGGCATCACAAGGAATATCTTTCATTAAGTGCTGCGTTGTTTAATGTAGGTTTTGTTGCTTTTTCAATACCCCTGGGCTGATTTATAGACTCCTGAACTTAAAGCCAGAAGTTCACTAAGAAAAACTATGTAAAAATGAGAAATGGTGCTTCCGGTTTAGTGCTACCCAGTTCTGTTTTCTAAAATATACAAGTTAGTAGTCCCTGAAAAAGATTAAGGCAAACTTGAAAGAGGCTAGAAATCAGGAAAAATTAACTTTAACCACATTGGAAATATAAAGGGAACATTTTTTCAAAATAATATCATAATGAAAGACCATGCCCCACAATTTCTCTTAAAAAAGAAAAAGTACTTCCCGTTACAATCATTTTGTGATTGATTACTTCTCTTTTCAAATACTAGATACTTCATTTTCTTCAAAGACTAGGGGTATTTTTTGTCAATTGGTTAGAACTTTGATCTGCTCCCCAGAGAAAAGTATATACCCCCAAAACTATAAGACTAGATCTGACCTTGTACTCATATTAAAGTCATCAATACTCTTCGTTTGAGGGTTTTGCCTCTTTTCTGTCAAGCCCGTGAAATTGCTCTTGACAGCTGAATGATAATTGAGTGGCAGTTTACTTATTAAGAGTCCCTAAGGGTGGGAGGGTTATGATTTACTCTGAAACATGGGTCAATCTCAAGGTTCCAAAGTGTATAGGGACATTATTTTCAAATCAGCCAGCCAGATTTTGAGACGTCATCTGTGCTTGGCGTGGGGCTGTCTAGAAGTTGATGTAGTATTGGGAGGGCTGAGCAAAGCGGCAGGGGTCTCCTGGGAGCCTGTGATGCTCAGGTGAGGCTTCAGTCAGTGAGCTGAAAAGAAAAAGCATGACCTGGACAGAGGAAACCCTAACGTGTTTGTAAATCACTTGCCACCATTTGGTTCTAGCAGTGATTACATTCCCAGAAGCACAACGTGCGCTCGGAGCGTTTCAGTATTAATAATGATGTACAAAGCATAATATGCCTGTTTAGACAGACTGCTGCTTTTCACATGGGTAAGGATAAACATTTTGGACACTGCATAACAGTTTTCAAAAGTATGTTAGAAGTCAGAGTGTCTTTTTGAAAGGCATGGCTCCCTGCACCCCGAATCTTCCACTTGCCATTCTAGCAACGTGTTTTTCTCCATTTTTAGTATCCTGGCTGAACTAATCCCTAGAGGTTCATTGTCTCCAGATGCTCACGAGAATCAGTTCAATAACTTGACATTTCTGGAAGGAGGGCATGATTTTAATTCCATAAAACTACACATAATGAGGGGAAGGGATGGGAAGGAGTCAGAGGAGAGTCGGTAGAATTGGCACAGGGTTTTCTGTGAGCTGGGGAAAGCTGGTTGGCTGGGCAGCCCTGACTGCAGGCACCAAGGCTCAGGCTCCTGCCCAGACTCAGGCTCAGGCCCAGGCCCAGGCCCAGGCTCAGGCCCAGACTCAGGCCCAGGCCCAGGCTCAGGCTCATTACAGGCTCAGGCCCAGGCCCAGGCTCAGGCCCAGACTCAGGCCCAGGCCCAGGCTCAGGCTCATTACAGGCTCAGGCCCAGACAGACTCAGGCAATGACCTGATGGTGGGACTATAGTTGCAGCAGCCACACCAGGCGGCCTGAAGGCCTCAAACGTCTGGTGGTGTTTCTGGGGTGTGGCCTCTGACCCTGGTCCAAAGTTAAGCCTGCAATGCCCAATCAACATACTTCTCCATATAGATGGTGAAAAGTGACCTCAAAGATAGTCTGGGTTTGAGAGGTAAGTCATGATTTGTCAGTAACATGCTTTAAATAGTCAACATAACTCTGAAGGCTTATTCAAGTGGAATGTGAGCCTATTAACACTCTCATCTCCCGACAACAGCAGCACATCCCTCCTTCCCAATCTCTGAACATTCAGGAGTCGTGTAACTAAGTAATTTAAAAAGCTAATTTCAAGATGTACTCTAGGATATTTACAAAATACATTCAATTTTTCATTAACATCGTTATGAAAGTATTTCTTTGAAATAAGAGTAATTAGTCATGTTTCTAAACGAATCAGAACACTACTTTTCATCTGGATGTTGACTGAAAGTAATATGAAATCATATGTAATGATTAAACAAATGTAAAAAGAAAGAAAAAGAAATTGATATACATACGTGTATATATATATATGAGATAGACATGTATATTTGGAGAAATATGTTAATCACTAGTGAATTTGGCTAAAGGGTATATGGAACTTCTTTATACTGCTCTACGATTTTTCTGTAAAGTTGAAATTATTTTTTTAAATGTACATAAATAATGTCCTGCATGTAAAAAATGTGAAATCATAGGTAATGATTAAATAAATGTAAATCCTATAGCCTGAAGATTTCAAAATTACTGACATTTTTCAAATTGCTGTTTTGATTTATTTTCTTGTCATTCAAATGTCTCATTCTGTTTCCATATTTGGCACTTTAATAAATGTCAATGACATCCCCAAATTCATTCATGTGATAGGTGAATCCTAAAGTGAGCAATTGTCTTCTATCATTTATGAATTTGTGTAAATCTGTTCCCATCAGTCTTTCTCCATTTCTAATTCCCGAAAAGCAACCAACACACTTTTAAACCATGTTGCTATCCAACTCAAATTGTATTTCAGAAGATTTGATTAAAAACTACAAAAGAACTACTTTCAACAAAAGCTTCTTCTAGTGGAGCACAAACATTTGGGGCATGCAGTCCTTTCCCTGCCTCGTAGCTTTAGAGGGAGATGTGTGTGGAAGAGGAATTGATCACAAACTAAATCCACCCCAGGCTTCCTTATATATCCATTAAGGAGGTGAAAATGTGCAGTGGCTTTTCTACCATCGAATCTTAGCTATACATCCCTGTTTTCAATGTCTCAGAAGAAAGGCAAGAGATATTTGCTTAATGAAGATGTAAGAAGGAAAACAGCAATATCAAGTAAATATTCAAATCTCATAACAAGATAATCTGAAAAAAAGAGGCTCATTCATAAATCATAGCCGTTAGAGCATTACCCTTCATTCAGATTGTTCTTTTGACTAATATTAAGCATACTGTGTTATGCAAATAAAGAGGTTGACTTTGTTGACGTTTGAATAATGATTTGGTAGTTTTGGAGTATTTGCATTGACTTTCTTATTTATACACTCTTAAAGTTTGGAAGTTTCCACTTTGGATGGCTCATAGCTGAAAGCAGTTTTTCTCTAACCCAGGCAATCAATCAGTGTTTATTAAAAGTGAGCTTTTATGCCTAAAACTTTAAATTCTCAAATCCATGTAGGATACCAAACTTTAAACAGTTTTATGCTTTGCTAGTAGCCCATGCTCTTCTGGGGACAGAAGCACGAGAGTCCTTCCATTATTGAGCAAAACCTTGTGAAGAAGTTGCAGTTTTAGAGACTTCCCCCCTCCTCTTCTAAGGAGTAATTCATAGCTTTTTGCCATAGGAGGTGTGTTGTTAAATGAGACGGTGTGTATACGATGACATACTAGCAGCCATTGCAGCATTCAATTCCGTGTCACTTCTTTCACCTTTGTAGATAACTGACTCATAAGACTACAGAGAAAGTGCTCACTGGTTTCCTCGAATATGAATTTACGTCTCTGATCTAGATACTTTTGGATACTGTGATTTCATTGTAGAAATTCCTATACTTGTGGGATAAAACAAATGCTAAGCCCATATTGAGTTTCAAGCTGAATGAGCAGAAAATAAAGATAAAATGCCTTTCTATTTGAGAACATGATGATGTTTTAATTGTTACAGCATTTGGCATGCCTAATGTACACAATCCTTGACATTCATATAATAACAAAAGAAAGTTGTTTGGGATTTTTCTTTTATTTCCTAGTGTCCCCTTTCCTCTCTAGTATTTCTCCCACCCCCATCCCAGCCCTGGCTTTTAGCTCTTCTCCCGTTCCCCCATCCTTCTATAAAGAAACACTCCATGCAGTAAAGGGATACAAGTCAAAATACCTCATTTCTATGTAGATAGGCCAATGCTGCTTATTACCTAGCTATGATGAACAGACCACCATCGTTGTGACAACTGATGAAGATGCCTCCAGGGTAAAACAAAGGTTTACATATTACACAAGCAATTTAACTGTTTTCTAAACATATTGCCAAGACAGTGGGAGTTGGCAGCCCACACTGTGTTTTAGGTTTTGGAGACTTGGATTAGAAGTGAGTGCTGATTATGAACCTTTTTATTTATCGTCTATGGACTATAAGCAGCCTAGTAACCCAGCAGAGAATTCTTCACAGCACTTAAACTTGTCTTCCTCGCTTCCCAAGATTACGTACACAAATCACTTGACAAAAGTGGTGGAAGGGTCTTGTGCATAGATAACCACACAAGACAATTGGCTTGTTCTAACCCTTAAAGAGTTCCGCAAAGGGAAATGTTTTATAATCCTTTTCTGTGCAGTAGGCAAGGGAGAAAAGAAAAGAGTTTGGGCAAAGATTATCCAGAAGAAAGAAAGAGATTCTTTTGGGGTTCCAGTTGAAACACAATAAAGAACATAATTAACTTCGCAATTCTTTGTGTTTCTCATTTGACTGCAGGGAGGAGATGAAAGAGGACTGCTAAGCCTTGCATTCCATCCCAATTACAAGAAAAATGGAAAGCTGTATGCGTCTTACACCACCAACCAAGAACGGTGGGCTATCGGGCCACATGACCACATTCTCAGAGTTGTGGAGTACACCGTGTCCAGGTAGCACTGAAACGCATGGAGACATACATATTTTTAAATATTAGGTTCCCTGTATCTCTTCATAATTTTGTGTTTAGAAGTTACAAATAAATAGCCATAAAGTGGCAATAAGTAAACCTTAATCTCTGTGTTGTTTAAAAGCCCATGTGCTTTAAGAAGAACTGGGGAAAATGATCTCTCTGGAACTTTTCCTCAGTTATCTTTTAACTGAAATGCTACTTCTGAAGCTTAGAAAAATCACATCATTTTCTGGTAATTTTTACCAGCCCCATTGCAAGTGTGTGCTTCCTTATTTACAGGCAGCTCTTTGCTTCCCTGTGTGTATGTACTGTTTACTTCCTGGATGGATTACTTTACATCTTTAACAATCGTGGTATTGTTTCCTCCCCACGATGTAGAAAAAATCCCCATCAGGTTGATTTGAGAACTGCCAGAGTGTTTCTGGAAGTTGCGGAACTCCACAGAAAGCATCTGGGAGGACAACTGCTCTTTGGCCCGGATGGCTTTCTGTACGTCATCCTCGGCGACGGGATGATCACACTGGATGACATGGAAGAGATGGACGGATTAAGGTAAAAAACAAAACAAAACAGGTTCCTCTTGATGCTAAGATGTTTGAAGTGCCAGGAAAAAGGGTCAGATCCAGTGAGTGAAAAACAGTCTTTGAATTAAATCACGTTGGTTAAATATTTAACTTTGGTTGTCAATGTCTTCATTTATAAAATGAAGAGGAATTCAGTCAGATGCTGATGTAATATTTTTGAAAGTCGTTATACCGAGATGTCCTAAAACAAGTTACTGCTGTGTAGTTTGGGCTACACAGAGCCCTGAGAAGCAAGCAACACCTTGTCCTCTGAGTAGCTGCCCTGCAATCCACGCAGCTTTCAGCACTCTGTGTGATGGGCTAACATACTCCAGCGGGCCTTCATGGGGGATGCAAAGTACATGGATTGGCAAAAAATGAAGTGGACAGATGCAAACAGCTGTGCCCTACCGATGCTGTCATTTTCGGCCACCGTCCAGCTGTGTCTTGGTGCCGCCACTTGTCTGAAACCAAACTGCCCCTTGTTTCATTTCCCACCGTATGGAATTTGGAACTTGAATTAATTTTGTCTCAAATAGGGGCGTGAGTCCCAGAGCAACCTCCCTGCATTTAGTTTAGGTGCAATGTGTCACAGAAACACAAAGCACTCATGTCATCCCCCAATGTCTCAGTGACTTCACAGGCTCAGTGCTCCGGCTGGATGTGGACACGGATATGTGCAGTGTGCCTTATTCCATCCCCAGGAGCAACCCGCACTTCAACAGCACCAACCAGCCCCCGGAAGTGTTTGCCCATGGCCTCCACGATCCAGGCAGGTGAGAACACCAGCCTGCCCCCTCACCTGCTGGAAAGCCAGGCTGGGATTTGGGGACTGGGAAAAGAAAGAGGGGTCCAGGCATAGAGCAGCCAAAGAGCGCTGTGCAGGCTGTGCCCCTAAAGTCACACTGGCTTATGATCCAAGCCGGTCTATAGCATTCGCTTCTATTAACGCGTGAAGCGGACAGACTTAGAAGGCACAGAAAAGGACAAATTCATGGAGAAAAATCGCCTGAAAGTTTTGGAGGGCTCTTATTAGATAAACACTGTTGCATGAGTAGTGTAATGATCTAGACTTCAGTCTGAATAATCAGAGAGATAATAAACCTTCTAATGTGTCTCCTTAAACCCATCTAACGCCCTACGATACTTTCCTTACGCATTAAATGAAGGTGGTAATAGCTACCTTACAAGGATGCTGTAATGATTAAATGCATTTCCATAAGTAAAGCACGAAATAGTGTCTGGCACATCTGGTGGATTTTAAATAAATTATAACTCTTATTATCATAGCCTCACTTAATATATATGATGGTACAGTATCAATTTGTAAGGAGTTGACTAAATGTTACCATTCTTCTCCTTGAAAAAATTAACTAGTACTAAAGGAAGTCCTATTGACTACTGACCATCATGAACCATAAAGAGAGGAACACTGAAAAGTATGGAGAGTGAGAAACTTGGGGTGTACTTTTAAAAAGCTATGAAGTATATATAATACAGCAATCCTGTGATGAAAACTTCATTCCAATCTGTGGTCTGGTAGTCATACTAAGGGGAACTGGCCACATTCATTCATTTACTAGCTACAGTATTACTGCTATTTAATGTTTATTGAGTGTTCACTGTGTGCAAGGTGAGTATTTTTCAAACTTTTTATTTTTATAATCCCTCATGCCCTTCATCTCCCCTCCATCAAAGTCCAACTCTACAGTTCATTTCCGTTTTGGCATCTCAGCAGATCTTAAAATCTGTGCGACAGGGAATACTTAAGGTGGGTTCAGGATGTGGAGGAAACGGTCACATTCCATTCCGATAGCTCAGAACTCACAGATACCACCACAAAGCAGCACTTTGAAGTCGAGCAGCCTGAGTCACCACAATCCCACTGGCGCTTGCAGACAATCTTCCTGGGGGTCCCGAACCCTCCGTGTAAAAACACAGGGTGAGGCACTTTGCAGACTGTGGCAGGCTGCCTGTGCGTGGAGCCCGAACTTCCCCGGCGGCAGAGGGCTGGAGGAACAGCCCGCCTTCCTCCAAGGTTCTTTGAAGCAGAGGAACATTTAATAAAGCAGAGAGGAAACTAAAATAATTACTGGCTAGAAGAAAAGCTGACTTTTATTAAGCACCTTGGTACAGAGTACTGAGCTAAGTACCGTATTTCCCCATGTATAAGACGCACCTTTTTTCAAAAAATTTGGGGTCTAAAAACTGAGTGTGTCTTACTTATACAGTGGTTGTAGATTTCAAATGCCATGGATGGAACTGAGGACGAGGCAATATATGAAGACAGTGACTCGTCATCAGACACAGATGAGGACAAGCTAATGGTTGGGAGTTTTGAGAGTGATGAGGAGTTGTATGAATTTTATGATGAATAAAACTTGAGTTCAATAACTTTATGTAATACATTTTTTTTCAAATTTCAGGCCCCCAAATTCAGGTGTGTCTTATACATGGGAGCGTCTTATACATGGGGAAATATGGTATCTCATGCATATTATCTCATTTATACCTCTCAGCAGTTCTCTGAGATAGCAGGCATCAGGCCCCCTCCCCCCTTTTTTTTTTAAGACTGTAATTTTTTACAGCAGTTTTAATTTCACAACAAAATTAAGTGGAACATACACAGCTCTCCCATATACCCCCTACCGGTGCACATGCATAGCCCCCCCCCAAATAATATCCCCACCAGTGGTCCATTTGTGACAACTGAGGAACCTACAGGGACACATCGCCACCACCCAAAGTCCGGGGTTTACGTTTGGGTTCACTCTTGGTGGTGTACATCCTATGGGTTTGGACAAATGTATACTAACGTGCATCTACCTGTATAGCATCATACAGAGAAGTTCCACTGGGAGGCCTCTTTTTTTACAGAAGAAAGTAAAAGTTAGAAGGCTCAAGGGGTTCCCAGCGGACCTAGAACTCAGCCGGAGCTAAACCTCATGGCACCCAGCAGCCCAGCCTTTGGGACATCTGGCCTTTTCTTCTAGATGCGCTCCTTTTTGTTAGAAACAGGTCAAACCTTTTCTTGTCCTAGTTTCTTCATCTTAGAAGAAAGGCAATCCAGAAAACCTTTCTCACCCTGTACGGATTTCGTTCCACCTTAAGTCACAGTCTGTCTGTGTCCTGATCCCTGCCAGGCATTGTACTCTGTGAATCACTGAATTCGAGAGGACAATACAGGGACTGTTGCCCAAGAACAACTCACTCATCTTTGGCAGGTCAGGCTTATAGTTCCCCCATTATGAGTGGGATCATTTGGAGGCAACACTTTTTGTTCTGTGGCTGTTGTTTAAGTAATTGCTACTACAACTCTTGAGTTGCTTAGGACCCAGAACCTATTGTCAGATTGTGTTATTTTTTAATTTATTTAATTGCCCCAAGGGTTTTGTTTTTAAGTCAGTGGTTTTTTTGGCCTAAAACAGTGATTCTGAACGGGATGATCTGGCAATGTCTAGAAACACTGTTGGTTGTCACAACTTAGGAGGAAGGGATCATGCCACTGGCATCTAACGGGTAGAGGCCAGAGATGCTGCTAAACATCCTACCACCCTCAGGACAGCACCCCGCACCCAAAGATTGATCTCACTCAAAGAGTCCACAATGCCAGGTTTGAGAAACCTGAAAACAATGCAACACTATTTTCCACATTTGTGAGAACTTCAAAGTTATATTATTAAACTTTATTCTTCCCGCAACCTAAACTCCTAACACCCAGTCCCTCATTGACTTAAACGTTCAACAAATAGTGAGCCCCTTTGGTATCCCAGGGTTGAAGCAGGTGACAGAGATAGAGAGGAACAAGAGGGAAGTGGCTCCTGGCCTCACGGAGTTGACAGTAGTGGCTGAAGTCACAGAAAAATCCTGGCCCCAGAACATGAAGACAGAGTCAACATCAAAGACCTGCATGGCTGTGGGACAAGCTTGAATTTATTCCCTGAATTGGAGTGCACACTTGGCTGTGTGAGAGCAGCCTGAGCTCTAGCATGTAGCGAGTCCATGTAACACACACAAAACTAATAAATACAACTACTTTTATATTGCGTGTTGCAGATGTAGGCTGCTGCTGCTGCTGATTCTTATACTTTACCGGTATATTATACACGTGGTATTCCTTAACAACAGACAACAAGTGTTTTAAGTCGGTGTGCACATTCATAGCGGAGGGGGATACCAAGGAAAATTATGAAATATTCTCCAGAGATCATTAAGCTTCAGCAGAATAAACAAACATATCAGGATGTCTCCTTGAGCCTTCTCTGGAGGGTCCAAACCAAATAGCCCATAGGGTCCTTGTCAGCCCACAAAGAGTTCCTGTGTCAGGGATCTCTAGTCTCAGATGGGAAGACAGGCATGTAGGAATTCATGGGTCCCCCTTTTGTTATGCAGATGCGCTGTGGATCGACACCCCACTGATGTAAACATCAATTTAACAATACTTTGTTCAGACTCCAATGGAAAGAACAGATCATCAGCCAGAATCCTACAGATAATAAAGGGAAAAGATTACGGTAAGTAAGTAGAGCATAAGTTGTTGATTTTGCTTTGGTTCGGGTTTTATTTTATTTTTGTATATTAATTGAAGAGAAAAGGATTCCTGCAAAATGAGCATTGGGGAAGCATAGAAACAGTGGCCTAACAGTGGTAAGGGAGTAAATTGCTCACTTTTTAAAGGTCCAGTGACTCTTACAAGCCCTCAGGGTTCCATTTGGGTAATTACCTTTCCCAGGGATTGAATGGTGCTCTGTAGATCCAAAAAACTTAATGGACCTTCAAAAGTTAGCAGTTTATATTTTGCTCATCTGAGACTCAAGATGAATAACTTCTATTTATTTAATGTATAAGGGAGAGCTTGTCTTAACATCTTATATACAGAAGAAAAAAAGGAAGTGTTAAAGGTAAGAAATTTCTTAATAGCCAACATGCTAGTCTTAGCAATTAGGAAAATATAAGTGTTTCAAATAAGAATGTAATGTGTTTCTCAGTTGGTTAAGAGCTCGCTCAAGAGTTTGAGCTCTGAGCAACAGCGGTTCGAGTCCAGCCCGAGCTGAGCAGCCGCTGAGCTGCCAACAGGTA